ACCACATGCTGTTATCTGAAAAGGTCAAAATCGAGTGACACGTGTAGGGAGGGGGGGGGCCGGGGGAGGGGGGATTGGGGGAGATAAAAGAGTAGACGGGGGGGAGTTGAGGAGGAGGCGGCGAAAAGTGAACATGTGGATTGGGGGGAGGCTTGCAGAAGGGGCAGGGGAAGGGATAGTGTGGAAGCGGGATGCGGGATATTTTCTGCGGTGGGCAGTGGCGCCGGTTGAGGACAGGTGTCGGAAGGTGATGCCATCTCGGGAGGATGGGAGATGGAACACGTGTGGTGGGGAGAGCGTCTTGCGGCTCGTCTATAATATAATGGTAAAATGCGCGGCTCGGTGGGGACAGAGTCTGAGATCTTTATTGGGCGGGTGCCCCTATCGGGCGGGTGCCCCCCTATCGGGCGCGCCCTCAACACACGCTGCACGGATTTGTTTACCGAACTTGCACGCGCGGCCACCCAAACCCTACATACTACCGTAGCACATCCGCCAGCCACAAACGCCTGGGATACCGAGAGATACAACCACTAGGCCCCGACTCACGCCACGTCCACTGCCCGCCCCCCCGAAAATATCTCCTTTTTTCCGCCCTACATCGCGGGCGTCTCGGGGGGCGCCGCCTTCTCCTCCACCGGCGATGTCGGCAGCTCCTTCTCGCCGCCCGCCTTGGTCGGCGTGGTCGGCGGCGAGTTGGACGCCTCCACAAACGCCGTCACCTCCTCGCTCGTCATCGTCCTGATCTGCAGCTTGGAGATGGGCTCCACGGCGCTCTCGACAAACTCCCTCGTCGGCTCCAGCGACGCGTCCAGCAGGTTGAACGCCCTGAGCTGCGACGACCAGTACGCCACGTACGTCGCCTTGAGCGCCACCTGCCTCTTGCCGTACGTCGCCTTCATCTTGTCCACCACCCCGTCCAGCATCTCCTCGTACGACTTGCGCGCCTCCTCCAGCTTCTCAATGTTGCGCCCGATCTTCGTCTCGTCCGGCTTCTTCACGTTCTGCAGGTCGTCCACCTTCTTGGTGTACATCGTCACCTCGCGCAGCGCGTCGTGCACCGGCTTGTACTGCTCCTGGATCTCCGCGATCTCCGCCAGGTACTCCTGCACCACCGCGTCCACCTGCCAGTGCGCCGCGCTCGACCCCTCCGTCTTGAGCACAAACTCCTTCACTAGCGCCTGCGACGCCGCCGCCGATTGCTTGCCGAACTCGCGCACCGCGTCCTTGTCCGGGTACCGATTGGCGAACCGGTCCGCGAAGATCTTCTGCTGGTTGCACACCTCCTTCCACGCTCTCTCCGACTCGTTCAGCGCCCCGGATGACGTCTGCAGATACGTCGTCAGGTTCTCCAGACGCCCTTTGTAGTCCATGAATTCCGCGTTTTCAGCCCCTTTGCCTGTATGCGCAGCCTTTTTGATCTTGTGCATCATCTTGAGGGTGTGCTTTTTTTTTTTGTCAACCCAAGTTGCGGTCTGCTCGTAGCTTATTTGCGGGTCGGCTTGTTCGCTTCTTGCAGTGTAGCTATGCACCGAACAATTTCCAAACGTTCGACCTGACTTTTATACTTTTAGCTGTTGCCAACTCACTCTCCAGGCCTGAGAGTGAGTGCAATGAAATTGCTCCAACTTTTCGGGAGTAGTGCAACTTTTGTGACAGATGACCAAGAGCGACGGGGATGAAAAATGGAGCATGCAACGAACATTGTGCTTCGATTACACGCCACGACATACGAGCATACTTCTGACTTGTTCATCACTCATTTGCCCTTTCCCAGCGAGGAATGCCCTCGAAATCATCGCGTTGATTTTTCGGGGAGCCCGTATTTTGTAGATAGAGTGCGATGCTTCTACGGGAGAGAATGCATCTTTTTAATCAGTTGCTCCAAAGCTTACTACGATTGGTAGTGAAACCCCTCCAAAACCCAACTATACTGTACTGATAATTACACAATACGAAGCACTGTTCTTCTGTTTCAGTGCGAGAGTAAGTCGTGGGCGGGTCACTTGTCATGAAATATGACAAATGAGTATCTATTGAGGAAAAAGGAGAGGGACCAACCGGTGAACCGCGCGGTGCTGCCGCAGAACAATATTCTCTGAGAGCCGTCACTAACAGAAAATCTTGCATCATTACGTGCTACAATGTCTTGCGAACACAGAGCCGGGCAGTATCCTCTGGAACGAAGGTGGCATGAACAGAGTAGGGGACGCCGCGTTGAGCATGTTGCAGAGAGAGTAAAGGTAGGAAGAGAATATGTTCTACTGCATAGCACGAACATTACTGTCGAAAAAGCAGGATATGCTTTTCTGAAAAACAACATTCACTGTTTTGATACAGTTCCACGACTGAGTGTTCCACATACTGGGCACATCGAACTCTCGCCAAGGAAGCGGACCACAAACACCTTATCTACGACGAAAAGCAATGCGAGGGCCTGTGGATACTCAGTAACTGTGGACACCCAGTAACTGGGGGATACACCGTCACGTGCCATCTGCGAGCAGCGAGCAAACTCTTGTTAAAATAACACGACACGGATAACACCAGAACGATGTGAGGTCCGCTTGCACAACCCGCCTAAGAAACGACAATAGATACTGCCCTGGAAGCACAACACAAGCGCCGCGCTATCTGCGTCCCCTCCCGCCACCTCTCCCGCCACCTCTCCCGCCACCTCTCCCGCCACCTCTCCCCCTGCCACCTCCCCGGAAGCGCCTGCCATTCCCCCTCTCCGGTCTCCCTCCACCCTCCCTCCTCCTCTTCCTCGCCTGTTCAATCAGCGCGTCCTTCTTCTCCCACATGTGCTTCCAATACATCTTCTCGACCTCCCCTGTCAGCACCTCAAACACCGGGACCTTCCCCCCAAACTCCGTCTTAGCCTCCGCTATGGCCTCCATCGCGGCCTTCGCGGCACCCGGCCTAGCAAACCTGATATGCCCCTCTGAATCCCCCCGCTGGAAATCGACCCATGCAATCTCGCCGTGCGCCTCAAGGGCCTCGCGGATATCCTCCCTCGACACATCCGGCCCGAAGCCCTCAAACTTGAGAATCAAATTCGGGGTGATCTCGCGCTCCTCCTTGTCCTCCTTCTTCTCAACATCCTCTTCCTTCTTCACGCCATTCGTCTCTTCGTCTGGCATCTTCCTCTTTTCCCCCCTCCCCCTTCCCTTACTGGCGCGGTACTTTCTGACCTCTGCCTTCTTCTGCTGGAAGTAGTCCTCGACCTGCAGCAGCAGCAGCGGCTTCCTGACGACGCCGCCCTCGGCCTGGACCTGGATCTCATACTCCTCCGCGACGACCCTCTCTGCGGCCTCCGGCGACTCCATCTCGACGAAGACGGAGCCCTTGAAGTGCTTGCGGCCGTCCTCGCCGAGCCAGCGGCGCACGCGCACGCTGAGCACCTTCCCCGACGGCGAGAAGAGGCGCGTGATCTCCTCGATGCTCGGCGGCTCCGACCCCGCCAGCCAGCCCTTCGCGAACACCGCGCGCGTGTTGAAC